CAATTGTGTATACATAGGCAGGTACCTAGTGAGCCAAGTGTGTGCAATATTAGAGACACAATGACCCATGTGTGTGGAGTGACAGGACACTGTTCCTCCTCTGCTGTGGATATGGAGACCGCAACATGTGGGACAGAGTAGTCCATGCATCTAGTAAATAGGAACACCTAATTTGCAGTTTGTCAGGTTTAGTCCTGAGGTGTCATGTTTTGCCGGTGTGTTTACTCAAGTGGACACTCAAGACCTCTTAAGCACATCCACTTGTTAAAGTTCTTTATGTATAAGAGTGTGCCCTATTTTTCCATTTTACAAAAAGTACAGATTTCTATAGAAATTAGCACTTTTTTACTCTCCTCTTGCTGTCAAGCAGACTACCGGTCCTGTTTCTTCTAGTTGCTTAGCTCCGTGGAGCTAAACTCTAGAGAATGGAATTGCCCAGAGCCTTTGTCTTGCAATTTCTCATTGAGTTGCATTTTATTTGTAAGTGGAAAGTGTGGACTGGAGTAGAACACGAGGGATTGCAAATGATCCAGGCAAGTTATTTTGGATATACCCCTTATAAAAACATGCATAGTTAAATGCATGCAAGTTTTCATTAGGGTATATCTACTAAAATGTGATTTATTATTTATTTGGCCAGTGAAATGTCCCTTTCACGTGTATTTTTTTAACTCTGTTGTTTTGTAATTTAATTTTAGACCCAATATAATTGGGTCACACCACCGGTACAAAGCTGGAAAAAAAACAGATGGTAGGGTTTCTCAATCCTGCAGAAATGGTCCAGAGATCAGCATCCACACTATCTCTTGTAGGTTAAATGCCTGCTCCCCGTTCCACAAAGCAGCATTTGTCGATAACCACGAACGAGCAGGGATTTGGTAACACATCGAGGCTGGGGAGAGAGAACCCCTGATGTTCAGTTAGGACCCCTGCCGGTAACTTAAAAAAAGTCTGCAGTGGCCTTAAAGAAACTGTAGCCCAAATCCGTGATCATGTAACACCCAACGTCTACACGTTTCGTCTTGCTTGTGAGACTTTTTCAAGACAAGGATGTAGGGTACTTGCAGAGCATGGGGCATATTGAGAACACTACCAAAATCAGTCCTGGAATTAAGATTCAGTTTAAAAAAATCAAACATCTCAATATACTTTTATTATTGAATATTTAAAAGACATTAATTGATCAATATTATAACCAAAATAACCTTTGTTAAAAATTTGTTGTAAAAAATCATTACCCATGATTTGCTGAAACCATACAAATGTTAGCGAAGCAGACAAAATATGCAAAACCAAAGAAACCTTATCAGTAATATGAAACCTTTATGCCGATAAGTACAACGATGCACATACTTGAATGGCTAATAAAAATAAATAACATGGGGAATAAACAATATAAAAATATATATAAAATGATGAATAAAGAATAATAAATACAAAAATTATATTTGAGTAAAATCAAGCTCCTCATTTAAATCATAAGGCTTTAGGGTATTTAGTGTGAAGATCCATCTGGATTTGGCAACGACAAGGGCTTTTTGCTGGATTCCCACATAAGAGAGATCCATTCTATCCCCATAACTGCGATAAGGGAAGGATCACTGTTGTGGGCCAATTTAAAATGACAAGCCACAGTAGATTTTGTATCTTTGTGTAAAATAGCTAACCGATGCTCCCTGAATCCCTCCCTTAGGGGCCTAGTTGTCTGCCCCACATAATGTAGACTGCAGGTGCAAGTTAGCAAATAAACAACAAGAAGTAAATAACACTTGATCCTATGGTTCACAAAGTATTTTTCCTCCCCTAGTGTGGTTCTGAAGTGGATTGCACTTTGGCTGATAAAATTACAAGTGAGGCATCTAGTCTTCCCACAATGAAAATTCTCAACTGACGTGCTCAGTCTTAGGGAAACCATTTATAGGTATAAATTTGGAAGATAAATTTAACCAAACACAAAAGTGATATGGCACTTATTTGGTAGTAAAGTTCAAAGCTGCTGTAAAACACTCGATTGGGCATGCCACAAACCCATCAAATAAATCGGAAAACACAGGAAAAACAAACTCCGTGTTTAGGTTATGCACCCACCACCTAAAAAAAACAAGTGAAAGTGCAGCGCTATAAAATTTGTAAAGGACTTGCCCCGCAAAGCAGATGTAGGGGGATAGTGTAATATATACAAAAATTAAAAGAAGAAAAAACACAAATAGTGTAACACTGATAGAATGTGAATTGGTATTTTATTTATCGTATCCAAACGCACATTTTCTAGAGCCTTTTTAGATATAGGCTCTAAACATCACACTTGTATTCATTTTCCTGATGGCAACCAGACCTTTATGCTCTCTGGCTTTTTAACAGGATTTCCAGATTGTGATATCGACGACCGAGAAAAATGTAATAGTAATAGAGTCCACATTGATAATAGTTCACAAAAGCCGTAGGAAAAATTGCTCACTTTCTTCAGAGCCTGTAAACCGGGCTCTGAGTATATTAGTATTGTCAACTTTTGGGGTGACACTTCCCCTTTAAATCCAGGAACCAGATAATATCAATGCACCAGGAGAGAGGTGTATATATACAGGATACTCTATTTATTAAACACAATTATAATTAAAAACATACATGAAGAGTATAAAAAGGTAAACGTTACTGATCCAGTGTCCTCTATCCTACGCCAAGACGCGTTTCACCCTCCCTGGGCTTTCTCAATCTGCATGTACTTTGCATTCTTCCTGGTTCTATTTTAAACCCTCAAATGATCCGCTCCTTTTTTACTTTCTAGCCAATTGTATCAGACCTTTTTTCGATGTTCTTATTGGGCATAATTGTCACCTTATTTTAATCCGGTATGGTGACGTGTTTTCATCTCGTCCGTCACGTCACTTCTGGTTCTTCCTCTATACTATGAAGACCACGATACTCTATGCTGTGAGGAAATGCGTGTCGGTTTATATGCTGTCACGTTACTTCTCCTTGCAAACATTTGATTACAACAACCATCATGCCTTGTGCTGTTTTGAGGATTTCTGACAGGCTATTGGTTGTTATATAGTCCTCAAAATAAGTTCAAAGGTATCCCAAAAATGGATTATGTGAATGAGGTAATAGGAAAAAGTGAGACAAATAAGAAAGTTATAAAAATATATAACTATAGTTTGAGTTACTAATTCAAATTCTAAACTGTTATTAAAATTATTATAGTGAGACTCCTTTTTTATTTTCTAATGATTATATATTGTAAGGAGACAAATAGTAAAACTATTGGTGTATGTATATCCATGTGTCTTAGCTTATAAATTAACTTCAAAATAACGTCTAACTATAATAATTTTAATAACAGTTTAGGATTTGAATTAGTAACTCGATTTATATTTATGTTTTTTTTTTTAAGTTGCCACTTAGTCACAAACACTGGCCAAAGTTAGCGCTCATATTTATGTTTTGAATACTTTGCAAATAAAATGCCCTTTCACTGATATCATCAGCATTGTATGTTTACTGCTCTAAAAAAATATTTGTATTCAGTGATGTCTCACAAGTAGCACAGTTCCCCCTGTGTCCACGTTTGTTAGTATTTTGGAAAGTGACAGGGTCAAATATAAGGCTGGCCAATCTACACATTGAAATTTGCCAGATTGGTTATGTTGCCTATGAGATTGTATGTCAGCCCAGTAATGTGAATTACCCCCATCATGGCATACTATTTGCAAAGTTTGTGACTTTGTGTCAACTAAAAAAGACTGGACATACCCCATTTGTAATACCTTGGGTTGTCTGCTTTTGCAAATGGTATGCCATCATGGGGGTAATTCTCATTCCTGGGCTTCCATACGGTTTCTAAGGCAACATAACCAGTCTGGCAAATTTCAATGTGTTTAAACTGCAAAATGTAACATGCTACTGTTGTACTCCTGAGACCTCACTGAATACAAATATGTGTATTTTATTGCAGTCAGTGGCGGATCCAGAGCCTGATCTCGGGAGGGGCACTTGTAGATTATTTAAATAAATAATCCAGGCACAATAACCACTACAGCTCAGTGTAGTAGTTATGGTGTCAGTAGTGCCAGGATTCCACCCCAGAGTAAGTAGTCATACCGTTTAAGAACAGTTTGACAACTTACCTGGGGTCTGCTGGGATACAGGGTATAGGAGCAGTGGTGTGTGTTAAGGGTGAAGTGTGTGAGTGCGGCAGTGTATGTCAGGGACAGTGTTTGTGGGGCAGTGTGTGTATGGGGACCGTGTTTGTGGGGCAGTGTGTGCATAGGGGGGCAGTGTGTGTATGGGGATAGTGTATGGGGGGCAGTGTGTGTATGGGGACAGTGTTTGTGGGGCAGTGTGTGTATGGGAGCAGTGTATGTGGGGCAGTGTGTTTATGGGTGTGCAGTGTGTGTATGGGGACAGTGTTTTTGGGGCAGTGTGTGTATGGGGACAGTGTTTTTTGGGGCAGTTTGTGTATGGGGACAATGTTTGTGGGACAGTGTGTGTATGTGGGAGAGTGTGTGTTTGTGGGGTAGTGTGAGTATGGGGACAGTGTTTGTGGGGCAGTGTGTGTATGGGGACAGTGTTTGTGGGGCAGCGTGTGTATTGGGACAGTGTTTGTGGGGCAGTGTGTGTATGGGGGGGCAGTGTGTATATGGGGACAATGTTTGTGGGGAAGTGTGTGTATGGGGACAGTGTTTGTGGGGCAGTGTGTGTATGGGGGGCAATGTACGTATGGGGACAGTGTTTGTGGGGCAGTGTGTATGGGGACGCAGTGTGTGTAATGGGGACGCAGTGTGTGTATGGGGAGGCAGTGTGTGTATGGGGG